CGGGTAAATAGGGATTTATGAGGATTTAAACATCTCAATGATCTATTAATTATAATGAGGCAAACAAAAATACATGCACTTTTTTCATGATCTCGCTCATTTTTTAAAAAAAATGGATCTATTGTGCTTTTCTTCTGATTGGCTTCCTTTTGATGGAAATTTTACCAGACTATATTTGTTGAGATTTCAGGTGTTTTGTAAGGGGATGCAACTCTTTAATTCCACCTTACATTGTCCAGGCTGTATTGGGTCCCCAGGCCTATAAAAGATGGGAGCAGCTTTTGCTACAGGTAAAAATGTTGCTCAAAATTCTCACAGATGGTATTGATTTCTTGTTCTCAATTAGTCATACCACGGGCCAGTTAGGCTATCATAATCTAATTTTGAATGTATACATTTACATAGTGTAATAGTCTATATATATTTTTTTTTTTAAATTTTTTTTTTACATTAAATTTTTGTTCTTGAACAAATTTATAATATATATGCATCTGCTATTCAGTTTCTAATTTCACAATTTTTAACTTGGTTTATATCATATATTATTATAAATTTATAATTTAGCTATTAAATTGCTCAACTTCCTTTATGTAGGTTATTCATTGCTAAATTGCTGAAGCATAACAGGGTACATTTTTTTTTTTTAATCTGTTATATTTACAAGTCATTATTTGCATGCTTTGAACTGAATCTTAATCATCAAGAGCATATTTTATTTTAGATTTGTAATTAAATGAATTTATAAAATAAACAAAATTCTTTTTTATCATTACATTATTATGCTATTTTACTAACAAACAACAACATTTTAAAATAAAATAATTGGTTTTTAAATCCATTAAAATTATTTTACACTATTTTAAATTTTTGTAAATATGTCTTCATTGATTAGGCACACTAATTAATAAATGAGTTGTTAATTTATGTTCCTTCAACTATCGAATTGAGTGACTGCAGTAAAACATAATGAAGAATAGGTTTTCTATGTTCCTATTGGTTTAAAAACAACATTTTAAAATAAAATAATTGGTTTTTAAATCCATTAAAATTATTTTACACTATTTTTAAATTTTTTAAATATGTCTTCATTGATTAGGCACACTAATTAATAAATGAGTTGTTAATTTATGTTCCTTCAACTATCGAATTGAGTGACTGCAGTAAAACATAATGAAGAATAGGTTTTCTATGTTCCTATTGGTTGTTGTAATTTTAAGCTTATTACTACAGATATTACTGTCATAATTTGTTTTCTTGATAATTTTTACTAAATTTACCTTTCCACTTTTTAGTAATTCTTTAGTTACACTATTCTCTACTACTAATACTATTAGTTGTAGTAAAGTTATAAGATTAATTATCAAAAATGGAAAATAATGGCTCAATGCAGGTATTTTACTTCCAGTATTTAAAATGCAGATTACTGGTACAATTATCTACCACAGTTCAGCAGTTACACAAATCTGTTACTGGTATGGTGCATACTCTCAGTTTGAAAAAATAATTAGGCATTGATACTCAGGACAATAAATTATTTAACATGAATGCAAAACTTTACAAATATCAAAACAAAATGTCATTTTTTTTAAATTGAAACATAATCAGTACATTTTTTTCAAAGATAATTACAAATTAAAATAAAAACAAGAGAAATAAAGTTATATCTCCACACATTTTTGCTATTTACCTACTGTGTACTTTGTTATTTTTATCTACTAATTATTTTAATTTTCATCTACTAACATTGCAGGAGTGTAAACTTTATAAGTAGAACTAGTTACTGATCTTTATTGTCCCTTATTACTTATCTTGAAATGTTGTTATTCTTCATTACTCACAAATTTTATCTATAAATAATAATAATAAAGTGTATTTCAAAAACACGCTTCATCCCAAAGGCTCGAAGCGCGGTACAAGAGTAAAAAAAAATAAATAAATAAATAAATAAATAAAAATCTATAATTTACCACATTTGAAACAAACGCAACACTACAAAAACTTATTACAAGCATACAATGTCAAAGTCTTTCTACCCATTTCAACCCTGAACAACACAGCTAATATACATTAAATGGAAAATATGGTAGACAATCATCCCAGAAGGTGTTTGCGAAATAAATGTGTCTTTAAATCGGTTTTAAAGGACTCCAGTGTCTCATTGCTTCTGAGATCGACTGGAAGGGCGTTCCAAATTGTTGGACCAGCAAATGCGAAAGTGCGCTTTCCGCAAGTCTCAAGGCAAACATGTGGTGTCAAGAGTTTGCCACTGTCGGATGAAATGAATTGACTAGTGGGTACATAAGGCGTCAGCAGCTCTTTCAGATAGGACGGCACCAGGCCATGTAAACAGCGGTAGCACAACGTTGCGATTTTGTACTCTATGCGAGCACGGACCGGCAGCCAGTGCAGCTCTCTCAGATCTAGATTGAGAATATTGTATATTGTATAAATTTCAATGTTTTCATCTCAGCCCTCACTTTTGACTTTCAGAAGACCCTTGATGCCATGTCTGACACTGTCGTACTGCCCACGATGCACCAGCCTAGTCATTGCAGATGCAGATGAGAAACTACATCTTGCTCACTGTGCTGTCTGCTACTTTGCATTCTGCACCCAGTGTGAGCGAGCTTGGCACCAGGTTAGTCAAATTCATTATATTTAGTTCCCCTGGAATTTCCAACTACATTGTTTTTAATGAGATAAAAGCTCTATTAAAATCTGATTTTTTAAGTGTATTTTTTACTCACAACCAAATGGTACCAAAAAAAAAAAAAAGACTTCCCTAACCCATTCAACCATGTAACTGCCAAATCCAGCCAATACTGATTGTACCCTGTAACTGCCAAATCCAGCCAATACAGATTGTACCCTGAAACTGCAGGATCCTGTTGTGGACAGGAGAGTGCGCCCAAATCCACTTCCATCTTCTCTTTATGATGTCTTCATCAATGGGCACCTGGTAAGTCCTTTCTAGTAGATCTTTGTTAGCGATGGTACTTGGCCATTTGATGTTCAGGATCTTTCTTAAAACATGTGTTTATGAAGGTCTGCACTTTCTGCGTAAAGCTCACTGTTGTTTTCCAAGTTTCTGCTCCATATAGTAGGACTGTTTTTTACATTTGTGTTAAAGATTCTGACTTTGGTTTGCAGCTTCAGTTACAAAATAACTCGGTTTTAAATTGTTCTGTAAACCTATCTATGGTAGCCATGGAATTGCTCCCCTTTGGCTGGAGTTCCAATTTTTAAAAAAAATTTCTGAATGTCCAGGATTGAATTGGCAAAAATGCAGCCTTCAATTTCAGGTTAGATTTAGGGTCTTATCCAACCATATTATATTTAAATTTCAGTCCCAGCACATGATCATCATGAAACCTTAAAGCTTTTCAATATTTAATTATATTGTTAGTTATTTTATAGTATCACAACCATTAGGTTAAAAGCGTGCTTGAAAAAGGCAGTCTAGGATCTCACATGGTCAGCCAAGCTTGATGCAGCTATCCTAATGGAAATTCGTTTTTTCTCAATGAGTTGATTGTTTAGTTTTCCCTGGACAAAATCATCACAAGGCCTGTGGTTTTGTTATGGAGAATTGGCTTGTCTCCTGTCAGTAGATTCCCCCTTCTCCACACAGCTGGTGAACCCAAGGAAACATTAAGTGGTAAATATAGATTGGCACCAGGTTATTTCAAGAGGTGCCAGAATTTTAACTGAGTCAATATCATACCACCTTCAGAACCCTAATGGAGTATGTAATGGATTACTGCAGGGAGAACCCTAGTGGAATATTTCATGGATTACTGCAGGGAGAATCCTCATGGAACACTTTGTGGATTACTGCAGTGAGAACCCTACTGGAATACCTCATGGATTACTGCAGGGAGAACCCTAATTGAATGCCTCATGGATTACTGCTGGGAGTACCCTAATGGAATCCATTGTAGATTACTGCAGGGAGAATCTTTGCTTGATTTTAGAGGATTTTTAGCCCTCTGATCTTGGCGGTACAGGAGAAGAGAAAATATTTTCCGATCATTTAAAATCATTATTTCCTTAGTTTTCCATGTATTTTATGGTTTAAATACTCTATTAACTTTCTGTATGCAGATCTGGAAGTTTAGGTCTCTACATCGTCCTTGCTAAAAATGCTTTCCATATATGCAAATATAATTGAGATCCTAAGCCGGCACGCATGTTTTCTTAAGTCATCTTCCTTAAATCATCTTTCCATTTCCAGGGCCGCAGATGTGAATCTGATGAAGAAGTTCTGGAAAAGCTGGAGCTACAACAGAAGGGTAGGGGTTCCCTCTCACATGCTGAGCAGAGCAGATTTCTACAGCTTAAAAGGAAACTTGAGAAAGTCATTGAATCAAAGAAGAGCATGAAAGAAAAGAGAAAACTTTGTCCAAACTGTAGTATTTTTATAGAGAAAAGTGGAGGGTAAAGGCATCTATGATATCTCTTGATTTATTTTCACATCATATACTGATTTCTTTAAAACTTTGTATATACATGCGACGCTGCTATGCGATGACCAAATGTAACCTTTAAATCTACCGAACACTGATAGGTGACTGTGTAACTACTATTGCATAGCAACAAGATAAATTCATGGATAATCTCTCCTTAGCTGTGAACGCATTCTAACATGTTTAAATGTTTCCCCATTGTTAATCTCAACTTGAAATGATAATAGCTTATTCAAAGTCTGATTTTCATCCAATTATTATTTTCTATACCAATCAATTGTAATTTTATTAAAAAAATGGCCCCAAATGATGAATTTGATAGCAATTTATGTTTAATTAAAAATATTTCATCTGTTAATAATGCTAACTGTGGTGATACAGATTCCTGGTTATCAATATCGTACATCATGAAAAGGTTATTGAGTTTATTGTCAAATAACCTTTATATTTCACCATAACGGCGGAAATTCATGTGGATAGAAGGGAGCATTTTACTCTATGAACTATGTGATATAAAGTGTTAAAAATAATGACTTTTCCTAATTATTCAGTAGGAGTTATACATTTCTTCTAACATATAATTTTTTAAATATAATGTAATTTACCAGTACTTAGAAATAACTACAATATTCATGCAAAAGTCCTTTGACCAAACAGTTTCCTAATGGATCGTTTAAAATACACCACATTTTTAATTGACACATACTTCCATATTCAATTATAGTACCCATTCAAAACAAAGGGTTGATCTCAATTGCTTTCTCCAAATAGCTGTAACATAATCACCTGTCGGTGTGGACAGAGTTTCTGCTGGGTTTGCTGTGCTTCAGTTGAGGGCTTCAGACATTTCCAAAATGGCATATGCTCTCTCATGCCTGGCTTGGAAACTGCAGTAGTGCCTACATTACCGCCAGATGTGAGTTAAGCTTTGGATATTACCTGGCAAATATACTACGGGAACAAAGGACTTTCTTTTATGCCAGGGTTTTAATTTTTGAATGTCTCTAAATTAGAACCAAAATGTGCTTAGATTTCAAACAACTTACAAATTAAACGTTTAAAAAAAATTAATAAAGATTTTAATAAAGTATTCATAACAGGAACACATGATGTAACCAGCGACAACTATATTTTGTTTTTGAAGATAAACCACTTTTGTGCAATTATTTTAAACTAAGAACATTAATTCTTTTGGTTTGGTTAATTTGGTTATTTAAGAATATGGCTACAACTCAATGAAAAATTTATGTTATCTTGTAAGGAAGTTGAATGCAGTTTTAAACTATCTTTCTCAGGCATAATCAGAGATATAAAGAGTAAAAGAAATCATGGTGACTTTATTCTGCTAGATTGTAAAATTTGGATTTTAATTGTTTATGAACTTGGGGCGGCCCAAAATTTCAGTTTATGACCAATAAAAAAAGTTAAATCACTCCTGTGTTTTTGTTTGCACAGGTTAAGCTTCAAATACAGGCCCAGCTAGAAGTGAACCTGGACTGTGGGAAAAAGCGCTGCCACTGCCCCATGTGTAAGCAGGTCAGCCTCAAAGGCAGAGACAACAACAATCATATCAGGTGCTGGAACTGTAAGAGTGACTTCTGCTTTCTTTGTAGGCAGAGGATCACGAGCAGTGTCACGTCTCATTATTCTGGACCTTGCGTTCAGCACTCATAGAGTGTTGGATTTTCATAGCAGTAACCAATTTTATACAGCAGATGTTTTTTTGTTGTTTTTTTTGTAAATTAAATCTATTGTATTTGTTAAACATTCAATAGATTTTGATTGTGTTGAAATTACTGGAGGCATTTAAATTAATTTATTTCAAAGCTCATTTAAATTTTTACCGTTAAAGTGGTTTTACATTGGAAATAAAATACCTTTGGGTTTCTTTCAAAATATTTATGTTTTATAATGGCCTGCTCTACATTTGAGATATCGTTTGTTTTATTTAATTACTGTAAATGATGTGTAAAGCAGTTGTCCAGAGGAAGAGGAGTAGATTAGAATATTTTTTTTGCTTTAATTAAAATGAAGATGAATGTGAAATTATATTATATTTACCATAATACCTGATTTTGATTTGTTGGTAGATGCAAGTATGTATTGTCCTGCATTTAATTTGATAAATACTAATAAAATAGCCATTGTTTTGGAATTGGTGCTGCCTAATGCAAAATTAATTATGTCATTAATCTTTCAAAGTGCCATGATCTCTTTAAATGAATATTCACCTTTGTGAACTTTTTAGTTTGTTACCATAAAGCCCATTACAGTTGCTGCACAGAGTATTCTTGATATACCTAAATGTGATCAATTTAATTTACATTTTTATAAATGCACCTTATATTTATATATCAAGGGGGGGGGGGGGGGGGGGTCCCCTTCCCTTCCTCCCCTCCACCCTGCTACACTTTCTGCACTGAGGCATTTTATCCTTTGGGTTGTCTATTTCTATATTCTCTTCTTATGTTTCTACTTATTATATAGTATCTGTGATTAAGTTTTTTTTTTACCCTCCTGTTTTATAGAAGACATTAATTACCATTAAAATGTAAAAAATGAAAAATCTAATAATAATTGTGCAGCAGTCGAATTATTGTGCACACTGCAAAGTATATTGTTAATGTTTTGAAATAAATAACATTATGCTTTAGCGTTCTTTAATTGTTTTCCGTATTTTTTTTAACTGAAAGAGTGAAATGCTTATTGCTAGTACTTAATCAAAATATACCTATGTTGCGTATACTGTGTGTATATCAATCAGACCTGAAAATTGATGACCCTAGTAAAAAAAATTTTATCTTAAATGCCAATCAGAAAATCTCTCTGCTGACAGATTAACTCTGAATTTTAATAAATAAATTGTTGGATAAATCTGCTCTTAACTTTTTTTGGTCTGATTTTCATTTCATTTTGCAATGCAATGTAGTTAAGTGTGCAAATGTTCTGTGTGGTTTTGATAAGGAAGAAGAGAATCGTAAAAATATTCATCGCATCGTTAACCAAATGCTACAGGCTATCAAAGCACTATGAGCAACTGATGTAACTCATAAAGAAAAGTCTAGGTTAAAGTAAAATATTCGATTTAAATTCAAATATAATGGTTGTTGTTTTTCAACATTGTTTAATGGTAATAAGGTTATAGAGGAGTACACAGTGAGAGAGGAGGGCTGTTTGCACAGTGAGAGAGGAGGGCTGTTGGCACAGTGGGAGAGGAGGGCTGTTGACACAGTGAGAGAGGAGGGCTGTTGGCACAGTGGGAGAGGAGGGCTGTTGGCACAGTGAGAGAGGAGGGCTGTTGGCACAGTGGAAGAGGAGGCCTGTTGGATTTTCGGAATAGAAAACAGCTAGGGTCCTGACAAAATTTAAATGTGTTCATATGTGAGCAAAGCCATCGCGTGGACCCTGTGGCAGGCCGCCCAAACCTAGGGTGGGGGGAGGGGGAGAGAACCATGGCACTTCTCAATGGCCCTAGCTAGATAGGGGTACGCCCTTTTTTTTGAGCTATAAAATCTAGGCACATGTTCGAAACACGAATGGGGCCCGAACTCTGTCAGCTGCCTGGGGCCCAGAATTCCTTGGTGCGCCCTGCTGCAGGAGGCCTCTGTTATTAATTTAAAGAGGCCCAAGGTTGTGATGTGGGACAAAAAAGTGGGGAGGGGGGGGGGGGGGGGTAAATTATCACCTTTGAGTGCAGGAGACACAAAACCGAAAAGTTTCTGGGGACCTCCACTTGGAGTCTAATACCAAGTGTTCGCCTATGACACGACATACCTGTACATAATTACACGATACACTGGCGCATGAAGCGCCCCGTCCGGCACTTTTAAAAACTATATATAGAGGACGGTATTTTCAGCCGACTGCAGTTTTTCACAGAAGAGGGCTGCAAAAATCTCTTGCGGCAGTAAAAAGGAACAAGTCAGTAAGTACATGACATTACATGTGACCGTTTTCTTTAACACCATATATTTTCTAGGGAAGCGTTATATGCAGTCGGCTGTGCATAACACTGAGGGTTATACACGGTCAGCAAGGAATTTAGCCGAATAAGGTTTAATATCGCTAGTTAAGAAATTTGTTTAAAAAGTATTTTGCGTAATACTATAATTTTTTTGAATGTTAATGTATTGAACGTAAATTTTAATGTGTATCTTATATTATAATTACTAGCGAGTACCCGGCATGCGTTGCAATGCCACTCAAAGAAAGAAAGTGTTTGCATGTTAATTATGTTTCTTCAAGAGCTTTTAAATACTCTTGTTTTTTCTTGTTTTTCCATCTGGTATAAACACGAATAAATCAGAAGATTTTCCGACGCGAGAGCAGGCCACATACATCTGTCCGTGGGCGAAGCATGGGTTATCCAAATTTAGTCCACAAACTTGTAGCGATTGTCCCTGTGCTTTGTAGATAGTCATTGTAGACACGTGTCGCATCGGAAACTGTAGGCGTTTGAATTCAAATGGCATATCTGTTGGAATCATTGGGCTGAATGGCAAAAGTACATCACCTAGTTTAAATTTTCCATTTAAAATAGCAACTTCAATGGAACCAATTTCGGAAGATTCATTTGAGCAAATGTACCGTACCTAATGCTTCAATATCAAAGTGCGTTTCTCGTTGCAAATCAAGAGCGAAAAGTTTGATTGAAAATCGATTCCGAGAGGTCATTCCCAACTCATGAATCATCAATCGATATGAATAGTATTTCACGACACTGACTTTCTTATTCGAATTTCTCAATTTCATGTCAAAATGATATCCATCTTCTCCTTGCCAAAATAAAATAGGATATTGCAATCAATCGTATGAGCGATGAGTTTCTGAGACTCGCTGAACATCCCCACTTCTGCGATGAAGAATTATATCACGTGAGTTAAATTCTTTGCCAACTATAATGATCGCCACGTCATCAATTGTTGGTGCATTGTATTGTCTTTCATGTTGGCCGACAGGTGTTTTGTCTGCTCTAACTACCGGTATTACTTTGTATTCATCATTTGGTATCTTTTCAAGTGCAATTCTAAACATTTGAATTAATTCGTTGTGTTGCAAAAATAACGTTTGCATTGCAGCGACAATTTCTCGTTTAGTGCCCGTATGACAACGTTGATCGATTTGCTCATCAGTATTCCCCATGAAATCATTTGAAGACATTTGTGATCTGTGTTTGGCATTGGCATCAGAGATGCTATACGATGGTAAATTTGGCCTTGCACTTTACTTAAAATGTTGGCATGTAATTCTCGCGCACGATATTTGTTGCGACCAACGATGTCATTTGGAAACATGAATTGCGTTTGCGTATGTTTGCCAAGAAATGTTTCGATTGGCTTGTTTCACCTGATTCCAACGTTGATAATGGTTCCGATGGTGAATGTAATTCTGGCAATTTCATTTTCCCATCCGCGCAGCAAATTCCAGGTGTTTCGTTTTTAAATTTGAGGGCACTGCAATACACGCATAATTGATATATTTTTCCAATAACCACACTTGGATTAAGACTGTAATCATAATTATTTATTAGCATCGTAATTTAATGTACTAAGATTTAATTCAGCGTGCAGTGTTCGTCTGGATCGAGCAGTGCGTACTCTATCGGAATCCAGTCTTGTTTCTCGCTGCTCGAATGATTCAGACAAACGGGTTTCAGCATTGCTTACTCGGCTGGTTTTGATTCTTCGTTTCTGTTGCTCGACTGTTTCAGGTGAACGGTATTGAGCATTGCGAACTCGAGTGGATTCTAGTCTTGCTTTCCATTGCTCAACTGTTTCGAAAGATCGGGACTACCTTTCCTTTCGTGCTTGAGGTTTAGATTGACCCAAAACTTTTTGTTTGTGTGGCATAATTGATTTGACAGCGAAATTATTGCTTTGTGACATCTGTTATTAGCAATGGTATTTCACAATTAACACAACTTGTTAGGTTACAAAAAAAATGAAATATCGCTGTTTGTATTTGATTCAATTAATGTACAATATTCCTAACGTTCATAATTTTCACACGTTAGGATCTCCCATCTTTTTACATGAAAACCTCGCACAATGGGTACGTTCATTGTTGTCAGGAGATTTCCAGTTGTAAAGTTTCTCATTAATTTATAAATCGTAAATTCCAGCGGTAAAAAAATGACCATAGTTCAATACCTACGTTGTCAAGTGTGTTATGTAATTACTTGAGAAACCATCGATTCATGTAAAATGTATTTACATAGCACAAAACAACTCCGAAATTATAAGACTCTATTCAAGAAATACTCTTAGTTGGAAAAAAACAACGCGATTTCGATGTCATGTCCGATTCTAAAATACGTCACAAAATTCAAGCTCATTTATACAAATAACAAAAATACTCTCTACACTAAAAATGTAAAAACGTGTTTTCTCTGCTTTACTACAAATGTGTAATTTGTTCAAGGTCGGTAGTGTTGATATCACCGTTATAAATTATATTAATGAAGCTCATTTAAGAAAATAAATTGAATTTAGGGTCCCCAGCCCTAATTGGAATATTGTACAATGGATGTACTAAATTTGAAAAATTTGCCGGCGGATTCAGCTACTTCCACACATGCAATAGCTCTGTTTGAAATTATAGTTACAAAGCTTTTAGAAGAAAATATGAAATTAGGGTCACTGGCCCAAACGGAATATTGTAAAATGTTTTTTCTAATTTAGAAACATTTTCGGTAGTGCGCATTTCACTTAACCCATTTTTATCACAATCGAATGAATGGTATAGAAATGCATACGATAATTATAATATAGATAATAGAGGTGTGGAAAACGAATTTAGGGCCCCCCCGCCACAAATGGAATATTGTAGAATTGTTGTATTACTTCAGAAACCTACTTAATATGTCACACACTCAATTTAATTTCACTATTTGTATTTGATTAAAAAGTTATCCATCCATGCATTAGTTCTGTTTGAAATTATAGTTGTATAGCTTATACAGAAAAAACGAACATAGGACCCCTGGCTAAAAACGGAGCATTTTAAAATCGTTGTAATCATTTAAGAGACCTTTGCAGGCGTGCGCACATCTCTCTAAAATTTTATCGCATTCTAATAATGTAGAGGAGCGCATACGGAAATTATTTTTTATAAAGCTCCTAATTTAAGGAAAAAAACATGAATTTGGGGCCAATTGCCAAAAAAACGGAAGGGTTATATTGGCTTAGAAAAATGCTCTGGCTTATGGACAACAACTCACCTCAGTTTTATCCCAAGCGCTTGAATGATGTAGGAGCGCATACGGTTTGAAATTATATTTTTATAGCTCATTTTGTAAGAAACAAACATAGGGCCCCTGGCTTGACACTGAATATTTTTAAATGGTTGTAGTAATTTAA